CTCTTTCTTGTAATTCAAACCGTCTGTCTGCATTTATCAAATATCGATCTCAATTATGATAACAATACATCTGAAGCCAACAGCAATGAGTTTGAAGAATGATTTGGAAATGGATTTATTCTATTTAGATCAAATAAGAAGAGAAATCGTAGGAGACCTACGTACCTATTCAAAAGAATGTGATACTAATTCAGATTCAGACAATGATTAATTTGTTGATATTGACATTTGTGTTTTGTTTTTGTGATGATTATTTCATTGTCATTAGTTTTATCGTACAATTCCGTAATAGTAGGTACTGCATTCTCAGAAATATTATTGCACGTTTGTTTGAAGGTGATTGCATTGAAACGAAAACATTGTTGTGAAAGGTTATGATTCTATATATTTTATCATCATTTTTCCTCATCTGTTTAGTATAATTTCCGTTCGCCACTGCAAGAGACAGATTAAAGCAAAAACGTCAGTCATTTCTGAGAATTTAGTGCCTACTATCTTGGAATAGTATAGTTTTGTTTAAAAAAGGTGAAACGTATTAGGTATATGTATGTTTATTAGCCGGTAATATAAATAGTGAGCTATGGTGGTTGCCATAATGAGACTAACAAGAAAAGAAGGTACAACTTGAAGATACTGAAACTGTTATAAAAACTAAAAGATAACAAAGTTTGTTCCCGTTTATTGAGGTTTTTAAAGACAAATAACAGTAGGTTTATGTTTGTTTATTCAAAAACCTAATTATCCTACGTAGACTTTTTTAGTTATACCGTTAGTTTTAAAGATATGTTGCTACAGGTATTTGTTGAAAAATCTTATGATTAATGTTGATAACGATTAACGAGGTTAGTTTTTCGCTGAAGGAATCTGAAACATTGTACCTATATTCATCAAAATATCTTTAACCTACCTGAATTCACCAGACAATATTCATATGAATCGAATAGGTAGATATAATGTATATATGTAGGTATATCTGAGAGTTTTTGTGTGAAAATTAAACTTACTCAAAGTAGAATTTATATCAATATTGTCCTCACAAGGTTCATATTATTGAACTAATATCCATGTTGATCAATATATTGGAAGGATAAGGTATATTGTAATAATAATATTGTCAGCAATAAAATAATATCAAAAAAATATTAAACATTATAACTTCCATCGAAACGCCATCAATATATTAAAAGGGCGTCCATTTTCTAAAAGACAAAACACAAACACTACAGAAAAATCCTTAAGGGGCTCTAAGAGCGGTGCCTGTGCGAAAGTAGCGATCCATGTTGGATTTGAATCGCTGGAGATTAAATCCATTTGGAAAAACATTCTCAGGAAGTTTATTCCACACAAACGCAGTTCTGCAAATGGAAGAGTTGTTAAACAGTGACGTTCGAGGTGTACTGAGTTGAATCTCAAGACGATGAGAGGCCACAGTCCGTCGCGTATTTCTGATAGGTACCACTGTTGGTGAATCAAATGTGCCAATTCACTTGAACACCTCCCGTGAAAGTATATATAAAAGAGAGACAACTCTCTAACTGTTCGCGTTCTTCGATGTTCCTGACTATTATCGAAGTTGCAAGTGATGTTCGTATCTCCAATCAGGCGAATCGCTCTATTCTGGATGGAATATAGCAGCTTCAGGATATGCCTAGGGGAGTAGCTCCATACATGTGATCAACACTCCTAAAAAGGTCTGATCGGAGCTTTATGCAGCATCAAAAGTTGCTGAGGTGTGTATAGTTTTCTGGTTTGGAACAGTGTTCTAAACATTCGAGAAGCAGCCTTTGCAATTCCAGCGACATGATTCCGACAGAAAGCGAAATTGTCTGTCCTGGCATTATTATATCCGGTCCGGAGAAAACCAATGCCTGGGTTTTTGTGGCATTGAATTCAAGCTGGTTACTTTCACCCCAATTCGAAATCGCCTCTAGGTCTTCATTTAGATATGAAACTTCCTACTACCGGTGAAGATGCCCATCCGTAGCCGATGTTCTGGAATACAAATGGAATAACGAAAAAAGTGTGCTGTCGTCAGCAAAACAATATATTGGATTCCTGTTTTTTTCCAATAAATCGTTGATATACAATAAAAAGGGGGTTGGAATAATATAGGTCCCTGGGGAACACCAGCGTGGATGGTAAAAGTAATCGGAAGATATCCGTCGACGGTCACTTGCAGGGAACGTTCTTTCAGGAAGCTGGAGAGCCGCAGACACAAAAATGATCCGATAAGCCATGACTCCAAAGTTTGGCCAACAAACCCTCATACCACTCACGGTCAAAGGCTTTAGAAATATCAAGCGCAACAGCTCTTGATTCTCCACGTTTCTCGATTGCGTTATTCCAAATATGGATGACATACGATAGACGGTCGCATTTTGATAATCGCTTGAGAAGTTAAAGCCTCTCAAATATTTGAAGATTTGGTGGTTTACGACTTTCTGCATGATTTTTGATATCACTGATAGCGAAGCGACTGGTTATTTGGAAGATTTTTCTGCTCTTTTTGGGAATAGGCGGGACGTGAGCAATCTTCCAACAAGAAGGAAAAACCCCTTTCCTGTAAGACAGATTTTTTTCCGTACCTTGGGAGCTGTCTGACTTGGTCATTCAGTCCAAGTCTCCAGAAAACACTGCAGCCTCTTGGGCTTATTGCGTTTATTCTCCCATCTTTTCATGACACCCATTCCATCAGTCTCGTTTCCTGTACTAGTTTGTACAGGTTCCGTGTTGGATGTTCGCCATATTCTTCTGGGCGTAATTTTATACATCCATGTATTGCCTGCCTCCTGTGATTCAGTGCCTCACATTCGCATAAGATGTGTTGAGCTGTTTCTATCCCTTCGTTGCATAATCTGCAGCTGAGGTCTCCGTTGTACAGCCACATTTTATTCAGGTGACAGTAGGGTGCTAATGCCGACTGAACGCCTCCCCCCACCTCTTTTGACCTTGAGACGTCACACGACCTTGAATGACGTCACCTAACCTTGAATGTCGTACACGTAGTATGAGCTTGAATGCGGTGTTTGACCTTGAGTGTGGGGTTTGACTTTGACGTTCGACACTTCGACTACCTTGAGCTTGCTCCATGGCATTGAATGTTGACCTTGAATGAAATCGTGACGTGTACAGAATATAACCTTGAACAGTGGGCGTTCGGCGTTGTCCCCTCCCTTGTTGGTAATTCCTATATAAGTTCAGAATATCGTATGACGTCACCTAACCTTGAACGTCGTACACATAGTATGAGATTGAATGCGGTGTTTGACCTTGAGTGTGGGGTTTGACCTTGACGTTCGACACTTCGAGTACCTTGAGCTTGCTCTGTGGCATTGCATGTTGACCTTGAATGAAATCGTGACGTGCACAGAATATAACCTTGAACAGTGGGGTTCGGCGTTGCCCCCTCCCTTGTTGGTAATTCCTATATAAGTTCAGAATATCATGCTTCCACATTCAGTTTAGACACTCTAAAATACCCAAATAGGTAAACAGAAGTATTTGTCGAATTCCAAAGTGAAGACAACGAGTATCAACCCATCCGAGACGGCGTTTTCGTCAGTGAGGTGAATATATATTTTATTTTAATTAACCGTAATTTCACTATATTTATGAATATGGATAATTTGAAATTTGACATTGAAAAATCATAGATTTTTCTATGATTCAACAAAGTGAAGCTTTAGAGCAGAAACCTATAAACGCTCTGGTTATTGATAAAGAATATAAAATAAAAAAAATGTCAATGTATTCCACACGATATGGTAAATCAATTCAAGTAGTTTTATTGGATGAGGAAAGTGATACTCCTTTTAAAGCATGGCTTCCAAAACGTGTCACAGAGCAATTACCAGAAGACTTCATTCGTGAAGTGAATTCATCCAAAGCCAAATTCACACTTACTTATATGGGTCAAAGTTCGCAGGATTATCCTGGTGCTAAAACCCGATCATTGATGAAATTCAATGTTTTAGATTGAACATTCTGAAATTATGAATTTTTTTTGTAAATAGTGAAAATATGGTAGATTATTATGAAATATGTATCAACTTGGTCACTTCATAGACATAGTCAGATTTCAAGTGAGTATTTTTTTTAATATTATTTGCAAACTAATGAATGCCATTTATGAATTTAAACAACACACAATTAGTATTAATTCAATTTCGAAAATTCACAAACTGACAGCGTCATACAAATTTAATTGTCACTATCGCTAATAGCGACCTAATGGATAGATTAGTTACGTATTTTCGCATTTATGACGATGTATCTCTGTAGTTGTTGCTAAAATAATTTTTTGCTGCGAACTGGTTTATTTTGGGCAAAAAACTCAATAGACATTTTTTATTCAGAATGAAACAGGCTATCCGAATTAAATTTTTAAATGGTAAACAAATAATAAGACGGAAAGTTACATTGGAAATACGTTTTCCACCCTTTACAACCATGGGGTAAACCAAATAAATTACTGGCTAAGTGTCTTTTTGGTAGAACAAAACGTACATAAAAATTGTGATACAAATTTTAAGTACCCCCTTCAACGGGCTGTATCTTAACAAGAGATGCTCCAGTGAAATTTCTTTATATGAAAGATCCTATCTTCTTTTCGAAGAGGAATCGCTTCCTTGAATGTTTTACACATATTTAGTTACACCCTGTATACAATTAATTTCACAATATTGCCTTATCTAGTCTTAAATTAATTTTAAAATGTATCCTTATGTAATAGTCAGGTAAATCTAATAATTAAAATATTGAATGCCTCATACAAGTCATCTATCAATTTTTATCTTCGAACCAAAGCTTTTGAAGAACTATAGAAAGTACAGAACTTACGTCCAACGAAGATAATTCATTTGAAATATTTAGAATTCAGAAGTAACACTGATCAACTGGCTACGAACTGAATTCAATTTCAATATTCAATAAAATATATTATTATTTTGAATTTAGAAATTGTTATTCAATCTGAGGTAATCAACAACTTGTTTAACTTAACCACTCCATACTACTTACACATATATTTCAGTTCCACTGTCATATGTTGAATATTTACCTTGTATCAATGTGTACATTGCCTTCATTTTGGAACTGGTGAAAGCTGGTGATAGGGTCGATCTCATATCCTTCCATCGTTCCCCTTCCAAAGCAAATAGATTCTGCCCTAGGATTGGATCGGATTTCCGGTTAACAAACGAGAAATGATCTGGAAAGTATTCGAAGTCTTTAACAGTTATTTGCTTTATGAGATCGAGATCTGTCACGAATAGAGATGGATTCAGGAACTGGTAACTTCCATAATATCTGGAAAAATATGAATCAGAAAGTTGCTATTTATAGAACGATAATAATGAATTTTATGATTTGTCCATTTGTTTTATTTAATCATCGTTACTTATTATGCAATTATAACTGCACATGGGTGACATTTACGAAACACTATTTTTAGGATTCTCAATAACCGCAATAGAACCCAAAATAAGGATTTTTGGAATTTTTGTCTGGTTTTGGTGAGATTTTTGGTAATATATTCGGGTGAGCTTCACCTGATATTGTTCTATATAAGTATTCATTACGTTAATTTAAAAAACAAATAATTAATCAGAAAAAACTGTGGATGGGGATAATTGACAATATTTATAGTTCGTAAAACGATTTCTTCGTAAATGAAAAAAAATTCAGGTTGACTTTTTGGTATCAAAAATAGTAGTCCTCGCGAACGAAATCACTGGCAACAGCTGAAGAGGAATGAATTTTGATAGATAATTATATATAGTTGTTTTCTAATCATCTGCTCAATCTGGAAAATAAGAAGTTTCGAGCTATTGCGAGCCTTTTCTGAACTGAAAGGGCAATATTTTCCAATATTCCTCCTGGGAGTACGACAAAATGCGTCACACTTCATTTTGAAATTTAACTTTTTTATTTCGTCATTTGCATCATCATTACGTTCATTTACTGCATGTTTTACTTTCAGGAATTATCTTGGAAATGACATTTCATTTATAATTGAGATAATATATCATCAATGTTACTGGAGTTTTTTCCCAACACTAAATCGTTATTTTTAACAAGGTGTTAAAAATAACGATTTCCCAACACCAAATCGTTATTTTTAACACCTTGTTAAAAATAACGATTTGGTGTTGGGAAAAAACTTCGGTAATAGAGGTGTTGAAAATAACGATTTGGTGTTGGGAAAAAACCCCAGTAATATTCATTACTACACCAAAGGTTCCAAACAGTGCATCATAAGTAATATATCATCATATAAAAACTGGAATATCTTTTAAACTACCGAAGCCATCGTGAAATATTACCTCATTTGTTTAACATGGAACTCTACGAAAAAGTTTCGACGATTTTTTCGTTGTTGGCTCCCGTGTCAAAATATAAATTTCATAATAATAACGATGGGATCTGAACTCCTGATGACTTCACAGGTACCATCCAGTACTCCCCACTCTTTCACATCGACACTCAAAACACGAAATTTCAATCATGAAACAGGCGATTTGGGTTGTAAACTCTCATTGAAATACCTCATTTTTAGAACTTTATTTCTTCCGAGTCCACTTCACTACTCCATTAGAGTGAGATCGGAATGGCAGGCATATTTGTAGTAGCAATTTTATTCTTCGTTGAGATGAATAGTTGCACATGTCTTTTTCTTGAATTCCAATTTGACGGTCTAATTATACTCTTCTACCACCCTCAAGAACGAATTATCCAAAGGTACAATAACTTACCTACATAGCAGGTTCATGTACTGACACCTATTAGAAAACATTTACTTCCCTCGCTAATACCACGAAGGGCGTTGGATTATATCCAACAAATAGTGCAGGATCCTTCACAGAAGACATATGCTTTTGGTGATACAACTGCCAGAATCGACTCAATTATTGAAACGGGTACTTGCAGACTTGTTTCAGGCTATTTGACCTCTCGTCAGTGCAAGGTAGTGTCTTACATCAACACGGGGTCGATGATTTTCCATTATTGAAAATCAAATTTTTTCAGACTTTTTATCATACTTTGAATAAAGCTGAAGCCAACGACAAGCAACATATTTCGTCGGCCTAATGTGAAAATTGCACAAGTCCAAGAACCTCAGTTTTACAGGAGAACAAAAAACTATTTTAATAATTTAAAAATAATGTAATCTGGGTGAAAATGAAATTTGGATGAAAAATACATTTAGGGAACTGCTATCAAGTATTGATTCTTTTTATAATACTTACCTGTTGAAAAATAAAGGAGTTATTCAAAATTCATTCTTATATCCAGTACGAAGAGGGACTTATGCAGATTTCATCTAATGAAACAACGCTATTATTTACATACCTAAGGCATTATTTTTATTGAATCGAAAATAAGTACTAATGAAACAACATGAAAAACTTTTCTTTTTTAATTTTCAATTCTTCTTTGTACAATGAAGGAAGAAAGTCAATTGATACATAATTTGAATTTGGTTTTAATCTTATAGGCATATCTTGAAATTTCTGGGAATGTTTAATCTTAAACTCGATTTTACCATCCGGATTATACTTCAGTGCTCTAAGATTGTTAACAGTTGGATCACCAACTTTGAATCCAGGTCTAATTCATTTTATTAAATTGAGTTTACTGAAGTCTTTGAAAAAAGTGTAATCTAAATAGATCACCTCATGCGGTTTAAGATTTTTTCGAGCCAATTTACATTGGGAGACATAATCGGCTGGCACATTGATGGTTCTACCTTTTAGTTGACTCTCTATGGTAGAATGCATAGAGTCGCACTCCATTTGGGTGTGGCCTTTTCTAAATATTTCTGGATGATACCAACATGTATCTACACTATCTACGCTACAACCGTCACTATATAATATTATTTGTTGCATTGTCTCAATCTGGGGAATTACATTACTTATCAAGAAGTTACAAATTATTGATGAAAAACAGTTGGCACTGAGCTCCCCTTGACCTCCATGCCAGAGAAAACAATAGCCATCTTTGTTCAGAGTACAAAGATGGCTAGAGTACAGAGCTGATACGTTCGATTTCAGACACAAAAGTACTGACTGTAGGTCCATCATCTTGCAGCTTATGCAGACATCGCATTTGTCTTTTTTTTGGCAAAAACAATGCTAAACTCAGATTTTCAAACATGTTTGAGAATGTGGCAATGGATAATGTAGTTATATTATGTTCTACACACAATCTTTATACAGCAAATAAAGCTCTGATTTGGTTTAGAACGTTGGCTCTATATATAGTTTTGTTGACGATTTTNCAGTCTGATAAAATAACGGCTAATTTAAAGTCTGACAAACTAAAAAGCACGACACCGAACAGAGACAGAACCATCAAAGTACACTTACTAGGACTTAGGCAACTTTCTTATTGATGTATAACGAGTGGGACTTCCGTGCATTTCATACTTCTGTTTCTAGTGCCATCTGAATACTTTTTAGATAGTTATTTGATTTGAATGTATATATACGCTGCTTCGCTAACAGATAGAGCTAAAAACTAATTTTGTGAAGAATTGGACTTATGCAATGTTCACATTAGGCCGACAATATCTCCCATCGCCCCCTCTGCACTCTGTTGATGTAGAACACTACCTTGCACTGACGAGAGGCCAAACAGTCCCATTTTCGGCACCTGAGTAGAGATGAGTTCTCCATCCCGGATACGTCTGGGCTGCCGGTCTGCTTTTGCGAAATTTGCTCGGGTTAGTGGTAGCATCACTTACCAAAGGCCTGAGTTGTATGATTGACATCACAGCTTATAATTACAGCCATGAGTTTAAAAAAAAACAGTTTTTGAACCATAGCGACTCTACGGTTGCAATACATTTCTATAATATCAGAATTCGTATAACGAACTGAGTATCTTATTTTTATTAATTAACACGCTTTTATTAGCTTCACCTGTATGTATGTTTGTTTGTTTGTAACTCCCCTTCTCATTTCATATCGGGATCTGTATTTGACAAAATTTTCGACATTATTGCTTAATCTATTAGCGGGCAGATGGCGCTGTACGTAACATCCTTGATATAATTCGAATTCACTTTACATGTATTTCTTCATTTGAAAAAAGTATTTTTTTCATTAACACGCGCGCCTGCTGCTTGGGGCTTGGTAGCTTTTCAGGCTCCCTCTACGGAATCGGGAAATATCAATGGTCATTTTTCGAAACGAAATACAATAAATATAGTTCAAAGAGGCGAAAAAACACACTTTTATAGCATACGAAACTAAAACATGAAAAATAAATAAAGTTTAAAAAACTAAAAAACACGCTTTCAAAGAACATCGAACTAAAAAGTTAAAAATATTTTTTAATCAGCTTAAAATAATAACGAATGAAAAATACTAGTATTATTGTGAAAAAAACGTGGGAGCTTTGTGCCATATTTTTTGTATATCAAGGGCCCGTCGCTTTTTTCACAATACTACTAGTATTTTTCGTTCTTTTTGTTTTAAGCTTATTAAAAAATATTTTTAACTTTTTAGTTCGATGTTTTTTAAAAGCGTGTTTTTCAGTTTTTTGAACTATAATTATTTCTTGATATTTAACATTTCAAACATGTGACAACTATACGAGTACAAATCGTGAAAAATCGTCAGAATTTGTTTTGTTAATGAAACGAAATCTCTTTTTCACTCAATAAATATGTTTTCAATCCTTAATTTTACCCCATTTCATAACAACGTGAGGAATAATGTTTTTTTTACAAAAACCGCATCCAAAAAAAAAATAAAATTAAGATGCCACATTCTCAAAAGTGAATGGTGACTTTTAGTTCGAGAGAAAGCAGTGGTGTATCACTTTTTTTTCAAAAATGACTCAGTACAAATGTCGCACTGACGCCACCGGCTAAAATGATTTTTATTAAATAAATATCTTAGCTCATATCAAAGTTGTAAAAATTTTTCCCTCAAAAAAAACTATTCGGAACGTAAGTATATATTTTTTCCACATATAATAAAGAATAACTATCTTGAATATTAGCATGTTATTAAAAGAATCTTGCGAAATTATGCTAAATAATTCAATACATATGTCTATCGTAAATTCTTGTTGAAATTATATGTGAATCATAATTTTGAAATTTATGAAGAAATAATGTGGCTTCTAGTAACACAGTCCGATAGTTTAAACAAACTTTACATAACAGCACATGCATGAAATTGAAGTAATTAAAAAATTATGCATAATGTGACATACCTCTTTTCTGGGAATCTCCTATACGCTTCTACAATCAATTCAAAAAAAGATTTTGGACCAAAGAGTACCCGAAGGAATCCTTTCCACGGTGTAACATAAAAAATGTTTTTCTTTTTCCAATAGAGCACAGGTCTGATGAACTTCGAAAACACTAAATAAGCCAAGCCGACAATGAGGAGACACACCAACATATTAATATTTACACTGAAAACGATTCGATTACCTCGATTTCTCTTCACATATCAACAACGGAGACGAAGTTACTCGTACCTCGGACTGAATTGTCGAATGTTACGTCTAAAGGCATTCTCCATTCAGAATTCCTACCAAAATAAGCATAATTCTCTGCCATTCGTTTATACAACTTGTACAACAGTTCAACCTTTCGGTAACTTTTGTCTGATTCAACTTTAAAATACTGACTTAGTGTAGGCCACCCATTTTACATAAGTTGCCAGCACTCATTCCGGAGCTTATGAGCTAATAGGAATAATAAAGGATTAATTTACCAATTTACTATATTCATTCACATGATTATTTTTTACAGAGATGCTGGGGATTACCTATATTCATTGAGGAAACAATTTCAGAAATTTCATTGGACGAAAATGCCGTTTAGATGAAATGTATTCAATTTCAATTCAACTTTGAAATGTATTCAATTAAGTGATAGAAGGTGATAGAAGGTGTATAGACTGACATAATCCGCTCTCGGTGGGATCAAGTCGACAAGTCATTTGAACCCTTCCTGTGAACAGGGCCATCGCCATGGGGGGTGGGGGGAGCCTCCCTCCCCTGCTTTTTCGATTGGGAAAAAGTTGAGAAAAGTTGGAAAATTTTGGCCCATGAAGATAGAAAAAAATAATAGTAAAAAAATGAATTGAAATTAAAAAAAAAGTGAGAGAAAAGAAAAGGAGAGGTAAAGAAAAGGAGAGGTAAAGAAAAGGAGAGGTAATAAGAAAAGGGAAAGAACCAGGAGAAGGTTGGGATTTCCCAACATGCATAACTTGGAGATCCCATACTTTGAAGTTCTGAGTTGTTTGAAGTGTTGTTTCCTTTCATTTGTATTGAATATGGTGGATATGGTGAAAGACCAAGGACCTTGGTCCAAAGTGGAATAATTTCCATTATTATTTTTATAATCACCAAAATTTATTTTTGTTTGTGCATACCCTAACGGGCATAATCATTCAGCCAATCTTTGGATAGCTAAGAAAGAAAATTAATATATTATAGTAGTAACTAATCCCTCGGCTTCCATTTCTTCGAAAGTTGAGAAATTAGAAAATTGATATATTAAAGTAGTAACTAATCCCTCGGCTTTCATTTCTTCGAAAGTTGGGAAATTTTGCTGGTGGAGTTGGGAAAATTTGGATTTCCCCCCCCCTTGGTTTTCCTTTTCGCTACGGCCCTGTGTGAAAGTGTCTCTGATTGGTGATTTTTTAATATACAAAAGGTTTTTTCTAAGACATTTTCAACTTTCCAGTTCGAACTAGCGGGAGTTTCTGAGGAGCTGCCTTACTGTTATTACCTTCGTTTCCGCCAGATCATCCTACTCCGATTAAACTAATGCCGTGGTTTTCTTGGCATTCAATATGCTTATTGTCACCACAAGCTGAAATTTTATCCAGATCTTCGTTAAAATTCATGTGAGATTTTTTGAAAAGCTGAAGATTCCCGAACAAAAATTATTTCACAAACTATAAGTCCTCATGCCAGGCATCGTCTGAGGCATTGGAAATATCTAATGCAACAGTACGATATTCTGCGAGTTGACGATTGTATTCTTCCATAAATAAATGGCATATAGCCTACCGATCTATGCTCATGGGAACCATATCGAAGGTCGCTTACGACGTTGAAGCTGGTAAAAACCGTATGAAAATTCGTTCGATAGTTTTGGAGTGCATGACGTTAAGGCAGATGGACAGCCGGAATCAAATGATTACATAGTTATGAGAAAATAAATATATCGTAATGAAATCTCGAAACATTTATCCCAACGTACCTACACAGTATTAGGTTCTGGTGAATGCATACCGGAAAACAACTGGAATTCGAATTATATCAAATATGTATATATTTAGGAAAGCTAGCTCACAGCTCACATCTTGCAGATGTTTTTCGTTCATCCAACAGCAGGTTCCAGAAAAACAACTACTTCTCTGGCTAATGCCATGCTGGTAATTGAATTATATCTGACAGAAATCTATGCTAGATACCTCAGTTGAGCTTAGCTTCTCGTTTTTCCAGCAGTAGGACTACACTGAAGTCAATCTACTGTGTAGAAACATTAAAAGAGATGGACGTTTTGACATTTCATTACGCAATAATCATTTTCTCATATGTATTTTACTCCCTTCGGTACAGTTTTCAGACTTGTTTTGATAACATACTTGCTCTATATGATGATTCTATCTTTGTGCCGATTTTGTTAGTATGAGGGTATCATTGATGTCACAGAAATTATATTTCCAATGGGATATTCGAAAGTTTGCATCCAGTTCAGAATAGTGCACTGATTATTTGTTAACGTATACGGACAACTATTTCTAAAATATAGTTATTCAAAAACTGACCAATTTTTGCAAAAAATTGAATACTGTCATTTTCGTATTTGTCATTATGGTCCCACGATTTGAAAATGCCCATCATGTCACCTACACTATGGTTTCAACTTCAAATTGGGGAATTCAGGAGGATCGTCCACAACTTTGTCGTCGTTCACTTTCTCATCCATGCGAGGGTCATACGAGTATTTTTTCCGGTTTGTACAGGATCATTCGCAATCAGTTCTCTTATCTACCAATACTGCAAATGTTTTTTCCACCAGCTTGTTTAGGAAACTCTTGTCGGCCAAATCAAAGTTGTACCTGCAAGTTCTCATGAAGTTCACATGCAGCTTGTGATAACTATTTTTGAATTCGAAGAGTGTAAGGCCATGAGCGGTCTTAGGCACCTCGCGGCAGGCCCTGCACCTAGTTTCAGAAACTCAATTTTCATCACGCGACTTCGGTAGATCGAGATGATGAAGACACTATTCTGGCAGGCCACGCTGAACCCATCAGTTTCCGAGTTCAGCTCACTCGACCTGAAAAAAGCGAAGGTCAGGCTCTTTGATGAGCTGAGGTCTCAATTATGTTGGAAAAGACCACACGCATTGGCTCATCCTTGTGTTGTCGCAGAAGTGAGGCTTTTAAATAGACTTTTTGCTGGACAGGTTCCAACTCGGTAGTAGAGTTGTGATAATCTTGTTCATTGTCGAAAACTAAACCAACTACACCAGCTGCCCTAAAAAATGCTCTACCATGGTCCCAAAGTATTCAGAGAATGGGATTCAAATTCTTGCTGACTGTATAGGTTCCATCCAATACCATTCTGTTATGTAGATACTCCAAACTCATAAGTCCATGACCTTCCCATTGTCGAAGAAAGTACAACCGTGAAACGGACGATTTGAAATGCAAACTCCTGTGGAGATGCATCATTTTTCTGGTCTTTACGTTGAGTTGATACAGCTCTTTTTGGGTCTATTTCACGACTTCAAACGAGTAGAGTGAGATTGGAATGGCAAGCATATTCGTACTAGCCACTTTTTTTCTCCTCAATAGTTCCGAGGACTGAGTCTATCGGAGTTTGTGCTGATACTTGTGGCGTAGAGAATGATTTACTATTGATACCTCTTGTAAGTGGGTTGTTTCATCCCAAGGTAGTTATACGTCTTTCCAGATTCCAGACCATAGAGAGGTTACGGTCATACTGTATCGAAAGCTGCATTAAACATTTATCAAGAAACAGCAACTCACCCCTTCGACCCTCTCTGCTCATATATTTATTCGAATACTTGATCAACTGCGGTGAGTATTCGTGTTTACAAGGTACTCGTAAACAACTCATGATACGAATTCAAGTATGTTATTGGTCTGTAATTCTTAGGCGGTCTCAACGGTTGCTCTCCATCCAACCATGAGTTGAATATTCTGGCCAGATGGCGGTGGGTGCTTGGTAGTTCTCTTCACCAACAAGTATTCAGCCCATCTGGGCCTGAAGCAGCAAAGTTCTTGGAACCCACAAGGGCTTTTGTAACGTCATCCGTGATTATCAGGTGGCGCAGTCTATTGAGCTCAGGTTATAAAAGCTTCGAGTTGTGCTAGGGCTGGAGTGTCTGAGTTCAGTGGTTGCGGGTGTCCATAGATGTCCTTCCAGAAGGATTCTAGCTGATCAGCGGTCGGCGGATTATACACAACACGCGGAGGCTCTGGAAATAGGCGATGATATTTCGCGCAGAACCTGAGGTTTTCCGCAATACTTCTCAATCGCCTCACTAGTGATATCTTAGCAGCCACTAACATTCTATCCAAAACGTGCTGGTCAGCAGCTCAAAGTGTGAAGGATGAGTCGCAGCTATTCGCCGCACTGCTGGCCTGAAAGATCTGTTGGCCGCCCTGTAATAAATTCTACATTGATACAAGACGCATGTTGTCTCGTCAACGTGATCTTGTGTGAAAATTGTATTATTTATTTTTCGGTTCCTAGGTATGAAATGGTTACCAGTTGGAAAACATATTTTCATCGAAGATTTCAGTTTTGTAATATCCATGGCGATATTTCAGTAAGGTAGTGTCCGAATAATTTTATTCTGATTTTAGTATGTAGAAAATTGTATGTAGTTCGAAAGTGTAAGGGCAAGAAACAGGGATCAAATCAAATCAAATCAAATTTTATTTAATCCGTTTTCCTCTTATACAATGGATTGGACGTGTCTGGTGTGGTGAAAAACCCCACAATCTTACTACAAAAAAAAGTTACTCCTAAAGTACAAGTTTACAGGTTAGGTTAACAAAATAGAATATATACACATAAATACAATGACAGTAGGGTGCTAATGCCGACTGAACGCCTCCCCCCACCCCTTTTGACCTTGAGNAAATAATGGAGTCATGCAAAGTTCATTCTTATATCCAAACGCTATTATTTACATACCTAAGGCATTATTTTTATTGAATCGAAAATAAATACTAATGAAACAACATGAAGTACTTTTCTTTTTTAATTTTCAATTCTTCTTTGTACAATAAAGGAAGAAAGTCAATTGATACATAATTTGAATTTGGTTTTAATCTTATAGGCATATCTTGAAATTCCTCGGAATGTTTAATCTTAAACTCGATTTTACCATCTGGATTATACTTCAGTATTAGAATATCTATGGACGATGTTTCAGTGCTCTAAGATTGTTAACAGTTGGATCACCAACTATGAATCCAGGTCTAATTGATTTTATCAAATTGATTTTACTGAAGTCTTTGAAAAAAGTGTAAAATACACGATTTTTTCGAGCCAATTTACATAGGGAGACATAATCAGCTGGCACATTA